ATTTTGGCGGGTAACTTTAACATCTAGATATTTTTCATGAAACAATTCAATTGCTTGGCTATAAGAAATGTTACCGATACCGTAACATTTAACAAGATAAATGCGATGCTGTAAAGTAAGCATTATTTAAATAAAATTAAATATCAACACCTAATTTCTTGAAAGAAAGAGTGTACAGAGAACCAGTGCAACACAATGTTGACTTCTTGAAAAGCAGGATAACTGAAGCTATTGCCCAAGTAAATAAAGAAATTATACATTCGACCTACGCTGCATTTAGAAAAAGATTGGAGGTGTGTTGAACTTGGTGGACTTCATGTAGAATAGTTTTCTAATGGCGCGTACATACTGATTCTGCTGTGTTCTCAAAATAAATGTTGGATTAATGTTTTTTGTTTTGATGTGTTTGTTTTTGATCCCCCTGTATAAAAAATAAATTATTAATATGCAAACATGTGTATCTGTTTTTCAATAAAGCAATATTTTTTAAATAGAATGGGTTCCCCGAAAGTATTAAAAAATAAGCAGAGTCCTAGAATATCCTAGAATGTCGAGTATTAACTAGAAGGACATGCTTTCATATTTAAACATAAAGTTTAATTCCAAGCAACTTTTCTCCATTACTTTTTTACGTAGCGTTAAGATTTAAGGTACTTTACTCTTCACTGTTTTTACCTTTTCCAAATTTTTGAACAGCCTCTACATTAAATTGAACAAATGACTATCAGCAACAGCAACTAAACTAGAAACAAAGTCAAGGTTACGTATTTACAACAATTAATTGTTCAAAATGCAAAATCTTCTACTAATGGAATTAATTGAAGTTAATATCATGTGGTGGTTTTCTTTTAAACCCGTCTTCTGTTCATTGCAGTAGTTGTGGTCATGTATCTGTTGGAGTAGAATTCCAGGGGGTTTAGATATGCCAATCTGGCTGGCCAAGACACTGGACCCTCTGCACCATTATGGTCAACATTGGCATTTGGTCTTCTACCTATCCATCGCCCCATATAATTTTCATTAAGCTATTCTTATATTATTCTCCCAGAATGCGTAGGAGCACCATCCATTGTATCCAGCTATTTTGTCGTATATTTAATGGAACATCCTCTAATAATTCAAATAGATGGTTTTCTAGAAAGTTTAGGAATGACTGGCTATTTAGACGGGGTGGCAAGAAAGGTCCACAAACTTTATTACGAATTATTCCGAGCCACACGTTCACAGAAAATTCGTGTTGAAAAGATAATGTCCGAATTTCATAAGGATTTTCTTGTGACCAAATATGCAGATTGAGAAAATTCACTACCCCTCGCCTTTGGTAAATGTACATTTATTATTATTTTGATTTAAATTGTTCTTATTTCTAAAGATAGTGGATTAGGTTTCTAAGGGAAACTAAAACGAGCCAAGAACTCTACCTCACAGGTGGTGTAGAAAGGACTGTAAATAATTTTTGTTGATGTGCTTACAAATTCCACTTACTTTTAAGCATAAACATAAATACTCTTATAATATTATGGTTAGAAATGTCTGCACGAGGGGATTGTATTTGATTGGAAGTTGCATAAAATTCGGACCACCCTGTATAAGGATATATAAGGGTAAAAATAAATAAAATGCAGTAGAACAACAATTAGAGTATATATTCAAAAATACAATTAAATATATATTTCATAATACACGTAAATATAATGTAAACTTTTTTACAGTGCGACATACGGAAGTCTTAAGTCTCAATACTATCATAATAGTGAAATGTTCTGAAATGCAAAAAAGTAATTGTACTGTTATTGTTAGTGTAGATAGGTACACTAAAATTTTCAATATTTTACAAATCGTCAGCTTTGTAGCTCAGTATGTTAATGTGCCACATACTAGCAAAGGTGGGGCGAAAATATTCAAAAGGGATTTTCCTTGTTAATTGAACTCTCTGATATTTCAAATATACCTAATAAATATATTGACATATATAATATCGTGCACTTCTACTTTATCACCTATCTAACCAACTAAAGAAAGACACTGGTAAATATATATTTAGATATCCATACCTGCAGGTTGTCCAGAGAATAAATATATATTACAAAAGATAGATTTTTTTCAAAAAAACTATTTCTTTTGCTCCGTAAACTAGTACCTTTTTATTTAATAACATTTTCTAAGCTTAACAATTGCATCTATATTTTTTATATTTTCTTTAGACAACCTGTAAATACAATGATTTAACTACAGTATGAAATTTGGACACTTTAAAGACTTTTATTAGTTCCTGAAGTTCAAATAAATATTTTAAAAACATCATTAAGAGTTTGATCCTTAAGCATTCTGGGAAAATTTAGAGATTTTCAAGCTGATCCTACTATCTCAGGATTCTTATAATTAAGTATTTATAATATACATTATGGATACTATGAATATAAGATTTATTTTACATTATAATAAATAATGAATAACGTGTACGCACAAAATATAAAATACATTTACATACATTAGAGAAGCGTTTGAATAATCCATGTTATCTAAAGACAAAGACATCCATTATTAATCATTTTGACATTTTTACGTGCATACATTGGATCGGTAACTTATTTTAAATACACCTCGGATCAAATTTAATACAGAAATAGCACAATTTCAAAGTTAATGTTCTGGCTAACAGCTAATTTAATTTTGATGATCTTGTTTTTATGGTAAGTTAATTGCTCAGTAACCTCGCTAAGACAGACATTTTTATTGAAATATGAGTACAGGGTGCAAGAGAGAATAAGTTAATTATTTCTTTTATTAACTGATATAATAATACCTACTTCTAAAGACACGTCCAGGCAGAACCGATAACGTTTGGTTACAGGTTACTAGTTTCGAGACATAAAGTTGCCATGTGTCGATATATAGACATGTCTAGACAAAACTACAAGGAGCAACATTTGTCATTGGCGACTAATTTCCAGAAATAAAGTTGCTGTTTGTCGATATATGTATTTGATTGTTTATGTTGACATAGTAGTAAACTTCAAAGAAAATTGAACTTGCGATGTGTTTTTTTTAGTGTGGACAGTTTATCATTAGTCACTTGTCATCGATCATCGTTATAAGTTTGTTTTATGTTTAAAAAGTTTATAAAATATGAATCTTTTGCGTGACTACTACATTTCCCAATACTGTGACATATTATTAGGACACGAAACATAGTTCAACATCGACATTTTATTATTTTTATGTTATCCCCCCTGCTCCCTGTAGCATCTATCTGAAAGGGCTTTTATATCAATACACACTAACTTTTTTCTGGAAACTTGTCGTCAAATGTCGCTTCTTGTCACTTCTGTTTGGACACGATTTAATAGGCTTCATATCGACAACTCATATTTGAAACAGCTTCTCTTGATCAATGTCCTGCCATATATCCCTGAACATGTTTTCAGTGTGTAGTCGAAAGAGGAAGATAGGGGTTAATGGTTTTCAAGTTGTCTATCCATACTGTCCCTGATTTTTTTTTTTCAACTGTTATGTCTATAAGTTTTTAACTTTATTCAATAAACTCAATTAATAACAGAGATTATAAGTTGAATCAAAGAACAAAAATTATTAAAAAATGATGAAAGTTAGATCATGCTGCAATTCACTATTTTAGTTGGAAAATTAAAAAATTATATCTTGGGAAGACATTTTAATAACGCATTTATTCAAGGAGGTTTTAGACACTTTTCTTGTTAACGTAACTTCTCTTGCAAGGCAGCTGACATTATTATAACTTTTTTATTTTTGTTATTTTTTTTTTAAATCTGTATAAACTTTTTATAGGAATTTCTTCCAAAGAATTTCCTTGTAACTTTAGAATTTTGCTTCAATGCTGCGGTTCTCAGAAACCATCATCGTTTTCTGTGCAATTTCCTACCATTCTTATGAATGCTATCTTATTGGATTGTATGCTGAATGAAAATAGCATTTTGAAAGTTTTTCAACGATGTATTTATTGTAAGTGGAGAAATCTCAGCAGTCTACCGAAAAAATAACAAAAAAAAATCAATTTGAAAAGAAAATCAAAAGCGACAAGTTTTAACAGATTAAAAAATAAATGATAAAAAAATTATTTTAATATTCTCAAGTATCTGGAAATGGTCCAAATCTTTTAACCCCAATTAACTGTTTTTCATCCATGGTAACCTGTTGACACGGAATGTTCAAGTAAAATTCATGTAACATTCATGGAATATTAAATATAACCTTCAAAATACATAATGATACATGAATTTTACTTGATCATTCCACGAATTTTACCATACTTTTTAATACAGTGTTTCCAAGTTTCCAATACAAGGATCACTAAAATGCAAATCTAGTATAAAATTTCTATCTTGTTGTTACTGAAGATAAAAACTATTTAATAACAGAGCGTCAAAATCAGAGTTAACGGGAAAATTAAATTTAAAAATAGGGTCTGTTTTTAGTGGTCCGTTAATATTGACAAGAAGTGTATATCGAAATATGTATAATTTAATAATAAAAATTAATAAACCATTAAATTAAAAATCTTATTTCTAAAAGTTACGAGATATTATAAAAATTTCATATTTCATAAGTTTCTGTCAAGATTCTTTTCCTTATATGTCATCAGAACACATAATGGCATGCTTGTTAAATTTTTAGATTTTACATTTTGCAGAATATGGATTGACCTTTAAGGACAGTCAAATCATCTTTTAAAATTTAACAACACGAATTAGAACTGCATCTTGTATCGGAATACTTTTAGATTAATTTTCAACTTAGCAATACAAAATTGTGCTAATCATTTAATTATCTGATTTTTATGTCACATTTTGTTATAATTATAGTTAAATTGGTCTGAATAGATTGTTTGTTTCAAATCTCTCATGCTGGGTCAACTTCAGTATTGATCAATAAAGGACATCTGTCTTAAAGCAGAACATTGGACATATCTAGTAAAGGTACGTGTAAAGAGAAAACACTGAGACGATAGAAGAAGTTATATATGTTTGAGCATTATTCTAGCGCTTTCTGTTTAAGCCATCTGCTCGTACTTAGCTTTATTTATCACACTGGCCAGACAACATGATAAAACGACGCCGATCAGTGGGAAAAAAGCGATGCCGACGGCGGCGCCGGCGACAATCCCGATGTTGGCGTCGAGGAATTCAATTACTTTATCGTAACAACCCTGAAAGTAAAAAAAATGTATCAATTAATAGAGCTGTTGCCAAAGGCTCCCCAAACACGTGCAAAAAATCTAATTTAATTCCGTATTGTTTAAAAAAATATACACGATGTTTCGTTAACAATGAGACAAAATTTAATGACAGAATGATGTGCTTCTTTTGAACTCTGACTATATTTCTAAAACTACATTGCCCCGATGTATTGAAAATTTTAGTCTATATTTTTTTAGTATGAGAATTTCAAATATAACCATTTTAGGCTCGTGAGCAGAGAGCGCTAAGTATACAATTTTTATTAAAAAAAAAGTTCAGCTTGCCCAAAGTGACTGTTATTTTTAAAACTCTTATACTTAAAAAATATAACTGCTGAAATTTTTTTGATAACATTTACCACAATTCGATTTTTTTTAACTTTGATACATCATCCTATTTTGATCTAAGGTATCCCCCATTAGGTTATGTTTCGTTTTTAATGGAACACTGTCTATGCGATATTATTTTCATGTTAATTACCTGTGTATATATCTCGTTCTCCTTCTCGGTGTTGCAGTTCTCTTTGATGCAGCAAGAAGCAGGAATCGGCTGACGTGGATTGAGGTCCAGCCAGTCACTGGATTTATGGTTTCCGCAACAATGGAGCTGTAACAGGATGAACTGTTTGTGAAAGTGGTAAAGGCAAAGGGCACAGTACTTAGTTACGCCAAGCCAAATCGTCGATATGGGCGGTATTCCGATATCATGTTGTAAAATGTTACAATGAAACATAATTTTACAAGGCGAGTCTTTTATAAAGAGACATTTCACATAGAATAATAAAATTTAAGTTATATAATGCCATTAAAAGAAGAAAACACTGTCAGTATTCACAAAAATTATGAAATGTTATGTTTTCCATGGCACCGAAATTTACAACAAGCACAAATTAAATTTATGACAATCGAAGGTATATTAAAAGATGAAAGGGCCATCTATGTACTATTTAAAGTAGTCGGAAGATATAAGCTGCTTTATAAAGTTGCTGATAAAAGAAAATATCCACTTTTCTAAATTTTTGATAACTATACTTATTCAGTTCAATAATCTAATATTACTTAATACTTAACAATGATCAATATGACATATTTTATATTAAAAAACCATTACAGAATTTTTCAACTCTAAGAAAAATTGTCCGCAGTTATTTATTTATGGCATAGTTCTGGTTTTATTCATTTTAGCATTTTGCTAGTTGCTACCTTTCTCTTTGGTACCTTTCCTATCATTATTCCAGTAATTCTTTTTTTTCTAAATAGGATCAAACGCGCTATAAGCAACAATTAAAAACTAATTATTTATAGGCATTATTCATTGTTTAGTTCTTATGGTAGTTTCACACGAATTTGAAGTAAATCAGTGCCAGCCATGCAATTATAATATAATTAAGTGTTACTATTTGAAATTTCAAAAAGAACTTTTGTAGCTTATACTATGCAGTGTCTTATATGAAACTATAATAAGAAGATTGAACACGGCAGCATATAGGCACCACATTATTACACATATTTCTTTTTAGGTACTACAAGTGCTACAAAATATGTTGAAATAAGTCTATAAAAAATTTTCCGGCCTTTGATTTGACAGTTGAAACTTCTTCCTCAAACTCTTTTAATTCTGGCACCACTTAAATATTAATCACAATTTATCTGCAGACCATGTTTATCAAATTAAACTCTGAACCCATAACCTTGCACAAAAAAAATTAACCAACAAAAGTAGACAAAGAACAATGAGTTCTAAAATGATTTTTATAAGGGTTATATTATGATCCTTTAAAAATTAAATAGAAATACAAAAAAAGTAATTCGCAGTTGGTGTAGTGCTGTCATATTCTTATCAGATTTAATGAAAATATATATGTATACAAAAAAAAATCACCTTTCAAAAATAGTAAATGTTTACCAAATATTGAACCATCTTTAGAATTAAACCGTTAACTAAATATTTTCTTCTTTATACCATAATATTTACTTGCCACATAATTTTTTTTTCAAGACGTCATATTTTTAAATGATTTGACTGTAAAAAAATTATTGCCAAAATATATCTAATACTCATCATATACCTGGTGTTGCGGAGTAGAGTGAAAAAATTTAGAAGGTAATAGAAGATTAAGTCATTTTTTATCCATGGACTATGATCCTTTTATTTTTGATATACACGTCAAAAATGAGTTTATTAAATCATATTTTACATATCTTCAAAAAAATACATGTACATTGAAATTTAGTACAGGCAAGTTTGCAAGTGCTATTGACCATGCGCTAGAAAGTGCTTGCTACTATTTCTTTCTGTGACATTTTATGACATAACTTTTTGAGGTTAGAATTTTTTATGTTAGCAAATGAACGAGATGAAAATAAACCAATATAAATCTTTGGTACCGTTTTGCTTCTATAGAAAGTTAAGAATATTTGAATGATATTTCTGTTAATTCTTTTAGATTACAGGAATTATTTAACTGATGGAAATCAAAGAGTAAAACTAGCAGCCTCTTTTGCGCTCTAGGAATATAATAAAGGATGTTCCTCAAGGTTCAATACTGAGTTCCCTGCTTTTTAGGATTTCGACTAAGGCAAAATATATTAAATTTGAAAGTTGTTGCAGGATAGGAACATAGTGGAGGGCGGGGCTTCAGATTAAGTGTGAACCAACCTTTGCAGTAATTTACATGTCTATTTAAAGCAAACAACCAACATATTACTACACTCGACCTAATTTATTGAACTCGAAACGATAAAAATATCTGACATTACTTATGTTTGTGATAAATTGTGTATCCCATGAAGACAACCATTTTCATATTGTCATAATGAAAAATGCCTGGATTAATGGATGCCCCGTTAACCAGTTTCCTCGTACCACGCAAATCCCACCGATATTAAACGACCGAGAGGCAATATCCCGGATGAGAATATGAATAATAGCTAACTGTAACTAATTACGTTCCTATACACTCACTGTTCCCTGGATCAGATCGAAGTCGGTGGCTAGGTGGGCGGTATCGTTGCGGTAATTTATCATGGCCTGGGTTAAGCCTTTGTCGAAGCCTTCGGTCAGCTTGGTGCGGTAGGCGAAAATCGAGACGCCTGCTCCCAGTTCCATGACGAAGACGATGGCCAGGAAAGCGCCGTACTGAAAATGAGACATTTAAAATAATTAATTTGCTTGAATACTTGTACAGTGTGTAGCAGATCATATAAGTACTCCAAAAAAAAAATAATAAAAAAACTTATTGTGAACATACAGTGGATTTATGAGAAAATGTCATTATTTATAAGAATTTCTGATTATTCTTAAATTATTTTTAAAGGTTTCTTGATTGTGGTGTTTTTGTAAAGTTTAAAGTTAACTCGAAATTATCTCCAGCTCCACAAAAAAAAAGTCTTGGGCAAATTACCAGAATACATTATTCATACGTATTTTGAGCTGTTGCATTCGAATTCGATTACAGAATTGCCCCAGGAAATCACCAGAATTTTCTAACCTAAAAAAATTGCTTAACATCGATAATATTCTGGAATTTTCGAATGATAAAGCCTTAACATTCGAAAATTTGCAAAAATATGTTATTTCCATAAATTCAGTGTTACCAATAGAGACCTCAACGCCTGGTACGAAAATTTCTTGGCGGCCAGTTATAATCGAACAGAAAACCTAACGTAACCTAAGCTGTCGAATGATAAACGAAAAGAAAGCGTATAGCACCGGTTCTAAACAAACCTATTATATAACCGTATCGCCTGTACCGCCCTTTGAACGGCTCTGTATAAATTTTGAGTATGTATTTTTTCAAGTTCGAAAATTATGGTAATTTGCTGGAGCAATTATGATATCGGATTCGGATTCAGCGAGTCAAAATACAGGGGAAAAACATAAGTCAGGACGCAGTTTTCAGTCGCTGTTAAATCATACCTGGATCATAGAAGCTAATTTATTAATTTTGTGGATTTTTAAGCTTTTTTAAGGTTAGAAAGGATTTGTGACGTTATGGTCCAAATCTGACTTCGGATTCGTGTTCAGCGGATCCAGATACATGGGAATTTAAAGATATAGCCACTAATTTCAACCGCTGATAAATCATACCTGTATTTTAAATGCCGATTTGTCCATTTTATGCGTTTTTAAAGCATTTTTTGATGTCGGAAAATTCTGGTGATTTGCTGGAGCAATTCTGACATCGCATTCGAATTTAGCGACTCAAAATACATGGGAATAATGTTCTCTGGTCATTTTTGAAGTTGTGTAATTAATACAAAATCAATTGAAATCATTTCGAGACTGCCAGATCATAGAATATTGCTGAATCTTTTGTTCCTTTATTAGATCATGGGTGTATTGTATTTAGAGGTGCATATAATTTGTTTACAATAAACTCACTAGAAAAGTGTTGATTGATTTCAAGTTTATTTGTAACAAATCTTTCTAAAATTTAAAACAAACCTTTTCAGTACCTTCGTTCGGTGAGCCATTTTTATTAAATACACTATTATTCAATACCTAACTTTTTCTATGGAATAACTGTATATTCTAAGGAATACCGGTATATTCTTATATAATCTATAATGTAACTTTTCCTAATATTACAATGATACAAAGTTTGTTGGATCTGATAGCAGCAAAAGAGCAAATTGTTTGAAAAAGATAATTGGATATTCATTCTAATATAAAGAAATTAAATATGTTATTGTTTTAATATGTCAGGCATATGGTTAACTCTTTTAGTTTACTCGTGGTTAGAGATGGACATATAAAACTTTTGTTTTAAACATTAATATTCCTGCATATTTTAACTGGCGCATTCACCATTTTATGGAAGAAAGTAGTCAAAGTGTAAACCTTTGGGTTGCTGTAAAATTTAATTACACCGTACGATATTTGTTGAGATAGGGTTCCAAGAAAATCTCTGCGTCAGTTTATTAGAATTAACCGCACTCGACACCCGACGTAGAAAGACATTGGTGGAAAATTTCAAGGCACGCCACTGCCGTGGTAAATTGTTGCAATAATTCCAATAATTTTCTTGTAATTCTATATTAACAAATATTGTACGAAATGTAATTATTTATGTCTAAAAAATAATGTAATGATACCTTACCCTTGAAAACAGTATAAATTAATGTTACAAAGTATTCCTAGAATACTTAACAGAATACAGCTACATATTATGCTCTCATACCGATTAAGATAATTTTCCTAATATGACTCACAAGGATGGCAAGATATATTGTAATCATAAAAATCGTAAACGCCCTAGTAATTAATTATACTGCATATATTTTTTATATTTCAATTTCCAAAGTAGTTGAAAACACTGTGAGTAATACACAAAATTATTTTTTCTCTAATGGGGCAGGGAAAGTGAAAAAATAGTTTTCATATCAAACTTGTATTACAAATTATAGGAAAATATATGACAAATTGAAGATGTATGATACTGAAATTGCAGTCAAACATTTGAGGTTAAATAAAATAAATACAACATGCACCTACAAGAAGATTTTTCCATGTTATATTGTCACGTTTTTTTATGTCGCCTGTTAATAAAAGCTAATAACTTTTACCAAATAATGAATTCATCTTAAATTAATTATTATCGTCATTGACTGACGAACATTATTTACGTACATGTAATCTGCAATTTACGGAATACCTACATAGTAGCGATGGAGAAAATAAATTTCAATTTATGGAGGCAACACCCTGGGAAATTTTCAATGTCATTATGACTTTAAAAAATAAAAAATGTGAAGATGTTTATAACCTAAATACGCAAATAGTGAAAAGTATAATGAATTCAATACTAATCCCAATTACCAACTTAATTAACCTTAGTATCAAGTCGAGTATTTTTCCAGACTCTCTAAAAATTGCTAGAGAAGTACCAATACACAAAAAGAATAACGTAAATGAACTTTCCAATTTTAGGCCCATATCCATAATTCCATATTTTGCAAAAATGTATGAGTCTATATTGAAAATATAAATTACCAATTATTTTGACACCCATGGTATTGTGAATTCAAATCAGTATGGTTTTCGCAATGGTTGCTCTACTATACATTGGCTATAAACAAACTTGTTTCATATATTAATGAAGGTTTTGAAAATGGTGAATAAATAGCGACAGAGTTCTTAGACTTGACAAAAATATTTGATTGTGTATCTCATAATATTCTTGTTAGAAAGCTACAATTTTATGGGATTACCGAGGACAATATACAGATGTTGAGTTCTTACTTGACAGATACGCAGCATTTAGTGAGTTACAATAACGTAAAATCCGACTTGAAAACACGGAGTACCCCAGAGATCAATACTGGGGCTCATACTATTTTTAACCTATATTGGTTGTTCTGAGAATTTTTTTTTGCTGATGACACATGTCTGTCAGAAAGAAGTAAAATACTCATAGATTTAATTAATACAATCCCTTAGACTCAGTTAACTGTTAATGAATGGTTTACCGCTAATAAGCTTTGCTTAAAGTAAGAGACCATGATCTTTTTGAAGTGTTCACGCAGCAAAGAAAAGCAGTTAGAATTATCTCAGGTCTTACTTATAAAGATGACTGCAAAAATCAATTTATTAAATTAAATATTCTAACAGTTCCATCAATGTACATACTGCAATGTTTGCTATACATAAAACATAACTTAAATATTTTTCAGACTAGAAGTGAAATTCACACTCATAATGTTAGATCTCAGGATAACCTTTCAGTAAATTTTTTGAGATTGTGTAAAACTAGAACTGGAACGGGTTACATTGGTGTATATCTTTTTAATGTTATCCCATTGCATGTTATAAAACTGAATTATAAACAATTTTAAAGCAAAATGAAAAATTATCTTTTACAAAATTCCTTTTATAACATTGCATTGAACAGTTTTTAACAAGTGATTTTAGCCATATTTAATTTATTGTCCTTTTTTAACTGTATTACTTTTGTATTTTAATTTATATAATTTTTATCTCATTTTAAATCATTTATTTGTATTATTGTACGGTCCCTTTATGATATTGTTATTTTGATAGTTTACTTTTGTCTGTATACTATTATGTTCTGTCTTATACACTCTTACATGTTTTTCAATAATTATTTTATATTAATATGATGTACTTAGTGGAATAATTTCCTGGTTTTGACATGTGTATATACTTTGTGTAATAACACTAATAGTTATAAAAAAAATAAGTAACTAAAATAAAAATAAATATTTTTGTTTCTTGGAAATATACTTATATGGGCAAATATTTAAAACAAAATTCTCTTGTACCAAAGTCTAGTCTATCAAAGCTACTCTTGACGTTTTATCAGAATCTGCGAATTGTTTCAGTTTTTATTAGACTCTTTTTACTGTGAAAATCTAACAATTTCGTGGTAATTTTAAAAATAATTAAATAAATATAGTTCCCACAAACACCTGTATGTTTGAGATGAATTAAGTAGTTTTAAATATTAGTTATTAGATTTTACTAATTTTGCTATAAACTGTAACATAATTTGGTGCTATTTTGAAACTTTCAAAATAATACTTTGTATTTTTTTGTGTTTAACCTTACAGAAAGTAGGTAGGTACCTAATTAAAATCTTGATTTTCTGTTAACTAATCAAAGGTAATCTATAACACATTTAGCTTGCGGCACATCATTTTAGTCATACATTCTTACATTGTATATCTCCCTTATCTGTCTCTTTCAAATACTATTACCAATTCCAGCAGACAGTGCAGCACAAAATGCGTAAGATTTTAAAGTGGCAAACTGTCTCAACCAAATTCTAACTGGCACTTACAGTAATGGCACTATCTGTACATATACATCATCTATTTCTATGCATGTATTCCGTTCATCACAATTCTTTCGATTTCCTTTATATGCACGAGCGGAATAAGCTATAAACCCAAATTGGTACACGTACATATCGCAAAAGGTTATCAGAAAGAGTAAGAATAATCTCCGTATCAGTTGCAAAGGATATCCGGGACTAAATTCTATACAAAGTCTTACTCTTTCCAGCAAATTATCAAGACTGTAAAAAACATAAGTGCGAGGTATCCCAAGAACAATGAACTCTTAAATCATCTCCACTCTTCAATTTTTATTGTTGCGGAAACAACTTGCAAGTAAAT